ATTTGCAAATAAATTCTTTAAAAATCAGACAATGTGATTTTCTGGATTTCCCCCCCCCCATTTTTTCCCCCCTATTTGAGGTTTACCTATGATGAAAATTACAGGCCTCTCTCATCTTTTTAAGTCGGAGAACTTGCACAATTGGTGACTGACTAAATACTTTTTTGCCCCAGTGAATAGCTACTACACACAGAGAGAACACACACGGTGTTATAAAGTGTAGGGAGGCATTTAATTAATATGTACTGATTTACCCAGAAAGCTTTGCTGTGAAGATTTTTTAAAAAGATCTTTAAATCTTTTTTAAAAACCCAAAATTTTACTATTCATAACAGAAGGACATGTATATTAATGGGGTGGGATGAGAGAAACTGGGTACCATCCTAATTCTGCAACCAATGGAGATGATCATAAGACAGGGAAATGAAGAGGGGGAGGGGGAGCGGGAGGAATCTTTATATGAATCAAACGGGAGGGATTCAAAATGAAAGACTCAAGTCTCTTTCATTTCAGCTCAAGTACTGAAATAAAAACCCAGGTGTTACTTTCTCTAAAAATAGGAAGAAAATGTAGATGAAGAACCCCATAAGGACCAGGAGATCAACTCCCTCTGAGCTCAGACGGGAAGGAAAAAGAGGAGCTTCTAAGAGAAAAAAGTGCGTAAGCCTCTCTAATCAACTGCCTGATTATGGGAGCGGCATTTGGAGCAGGGAGAAGCACAAGCCACTTGAAGGTACTAACCTATCAGCTGTCTGATGAGTAATCAGAGGTCTAGAAAGCTAGATCTACAGACAGAGGCACTGGAGGTTGTGCAACTATATGTTGGGGTGTGGTGGTTGCAAAACATACAGAGATTCAGGCTGCCTTGCTTTGTTTAGTGCTTCCAAGCATAGGAAGGTGTCCACTAGTCACAAACTTGGCCCAAGTTTTTGCATGAATAATGAGCTTGTTCACAGCAGTGCTACTTTGGCGGCACAGTTGCAATTGTGAGAGTGGCCAGCAAACTAAGGGTAGCTAAGCTGCTTATGGATAACTGTTTCCATAGAAGGCTGAACAGAGGATAGGCTTTCTCTGTTGTAGGCTTTCTCTGCTGTAGAAATGTATCACCTCTTTTCCTCTTCAGCAGAAAGTTTTTGTGGATTGCCTGTGCAGATCATCCTTCTGCCTCAGCTTCTTTAGACAATCATCCTTTCCTCCTGTGACAAGATCTGTGGAGATGCAGGACTCCAGGCATATTCATTTATTTGATACCGAACTATTTGTCACAAGTCTCTGCCCAACTACCAAGTCCTTTGGTATGCTCAGGAGACTTGAGAAACATGCAAAGGCTTCCTTCATTTGAACTATGGTTTGGAGATGGTAAGAAGCCGGAGACTGCTGAGAAGCAACACCTATGCTTTCTTACCTTCAACAATGAAGGTATAAATGAGAGCTCCAGGAAAGGATGTGGGTTTGCTAAACTCCAGGGGACCATGTCCTAGGTACAAAGCTTGGTAGAACTTACAAGGAAGTGAAACAGAATGAAAGCCTTTTCTGCAAAAAACAGAGAAGGGAAGAAACGTGCATGCTTTTAAATATTTTGGAAGTGGATGTACCTGAGCTGCCCAAAATTAGAAAATACCTGGACAACTGGTAACCGTAATGAACAAACTGAGATATGTGGTGGCCATCCTTTCCTTCCCAATTAGAAAAAAGAGAAGCAGAGAATTGTGAATCTCTGAAGTAAGCCAAATTGTTTTGGGTGGGCTGGACATCCTGACCATAGGAAAACCTTTTGATCAGAGATAGCACTGCCATTTGGACTGCCATTTTGCATCACTAGGAGAGGGGTCAGCAACTTGGTTCAGTTGAGGCTCACATTTCCTCATGAGTAATATGCTGGGGACAGCAGCGTGTATGAGGGGGGCACAGCCAAAAATGGGGACTCTGTTCACTCTCTGCCACATCCCTTTAAAAAAACAAACAATGCCCATTTATCCTCTTTTTCACCAAAGCTGCAAGAAAGGAAGAGAAAGCTTTAACCCAAAAGTATACATTTATAATGGCCATTTCCAGAGGGTCACCTGCAGAATCTGTAAACCCTTAAAAATTCTCAACTCCCAGTGCCCCGGACAGTAATTACAATAGCCTGTTCTCTTAGATTCTAGCAAGCAAAATCTATCTATCTATCTATCTATCTATCTATCTATCTATCTATCTATCTATCTATCTATCTATCTATCTATCTATCTATCTATCTACCTACCTACCTACCTACCTACCTACCTACCTACCTACCTAATCATATTTATATAGCTGCCCCTCTCACATAAACTGCTCTGTTAGCATTAAATGGAATGGAAACCACAAGGAGGACAGAGAGATGGATTTTGAAACTAAGAGGCAGGGACTCACTAGGTGGTCCTCTAAAATAAAATCTTAATTTTCCATTTCAGTTTGCAATTTGTACAATGGGAATAATATCAATCCAGCTTATAGGGTTGTTGTAGAGAAGAGCTAGAAAGACTGCAACATGCATATATACATACATACACACACACGTATCAAACACATATGTAGAGCAATTCTGATTTCATATTTCCTTTACTTTGTCCAAAGGATTTAATTTGTCATGAAGTTTAAGAACTCCCACTAGAGGTACGCAGACTTATACGTGAAACTAAGTTTGCAATAATGTCTAGAGAAAGGGATATGACAATCAGTTTAAGTCATCTGTGTAGACATACTCAAGTAGTGAAGTTATTCATATATTTAAGCACCAATTATTGCCTGCCTGACTTCACAATTAGACTCCAAACCATGTGCTTAGATGATGAAATGATCATACAAATCCAAGAGCCTTCAAATAATGAACCTGTTATATTTGGCACATACCCTGGAGATGATCACATGCAAACTGTCCTACTAAATGGATTCAGATAATACCCACAATCCAAAGACTGTGAAAACACAAATATCCAAACTTTGTGACTCACTTACTATGTAGTCCTAACCTAGTAAATACAAAAACAGCCATTGCTGAGGAGACCTCAGAGAACCATTCACACTCTTATGTAAGAATGTATTTTCTTACCTCCGGGCTCCAGGCTGATGAGCTGTCAGTTGCATCATTCCCTTCAAATCCTTGGTTGCTAAAAGCTGTCTCCATTTCCAAACTTCCTTCAGTCTCTTGTCGACTGAGGCTGGGTGTTGCGCTGACTTCCACCTCAGAGTCTTTCGGTTGTCCAGAGCCCCTGCTCTCCACCGCAATTCTCGAACTGATGGATAGAAGGTCATCTTCATGAGAAGAGAGGTTGTCCTGGTAACTCAGTTGGCTGAAGCCATCTAAATCTAATGCATTTCAAACAAAGAAAAACCATTTGGGGGGGGGGGAAATCCTATTATCTTTTTTATCCTTCTAGTATAAACATGCCGTTTATGCATATGTGTTTTAATACACTCCAACACAGGGCCCTGAAATGACACTACATAGACTTTGAATCCCTGGCACGAAATAAAACTATTCCGGTTTGAAAAAGTAATGTCATCAGGATTCTGAGGATTTCAGATTTAGTTATAATTAGTTATAAATGAGGAGGAGACACCGACATCATTCAAAGGAATGGCTATAGTTAGTCCCATACTTGAGATAAGAAGTGTGTTTCCTGTATGCATTGTAGTGCTCCCTTATTATGAACATCACAACATTTCTCCAGGATGGATGTCACTAGCAATGAACTACAGTTGAAGGCTTGGTGGAATTGAACCATTTTAAATAGCTTCTGAAATGTTAGCTTTATGAAACTTTGGGAATAAAATGTTCCAAAATAAGACAGGTCACCAAGGAAAATTAAATGCTGTTAACATGATTTTTCTCCAAACTATTAATGATTTTAATTGAGTGGTCATGTGCCACCAAATCAGAGTCGACTCTTAGCAACCTCACTGATAGATCTTTTCCAGGATGATCTGTCCCCAGTGTGGCCTTCAGGTCTTTTAACTGTGCACCCACTGCTACTGTAATCAAAATAATGTTTAAAAAGTTTAATTAAGTTTAATTAGTTTTAATTAATGTAATAATTTTCCCCTTCTGTTATTAAAAATTACAATGGAAGAGCAACTTTTTAAGGCATTCTGGAGGACCACGGTCAAGGCCCTTCAGAAGGCTATGCTCCTGCTCTAAATGATTCCTCCCACACTGCAGCAACACTGACATCCCTATATCCAGTAGAGGAGAAAAAGGGAAATGGAAGCAAAACTGACGGAAACAGGAATAATAAAATTCTTCTATAAAGTTCAGATGTGCTGCTGATATTTCTGAACATTTATAGAGCATTTCTTTCTCACTCAAGTTTACAAACTATTAAGTCTTCCTGAAGTCATCACTGTTTATCATTTGATTTCATGAATATTGAACTGAAAATCAACTCCAACCTACTCCCAGGTAAACATGCAAAAAGATTGGCATCCTGCGTACAATTCTCTACTTGTTTGTTCAGAATCAATCTGTTTGGAGTGCCATGGGATTTCCTTTCTACAAGAGTGCTGTAGGGTGCCTTTCATTCTACTATGAAGGCTCTGAGCACCACTGGTGTTGAACAGTACATGGTGTACATCACAGATTGTAGCTCTAACATAAGCAGTACATGTTTGATATACACTTGGCACACACACTAGAGCAGTAGGCTAAAAGACAGGTTTTAAAATTTAAAATAAATAAATAAAATGCCACAAGCTTTCAGAATAGAAGTGGTTCTCTAGTGAGAAATTATTTTACACACTTCCCCACACAGCCTCCCCCAGCACACATATTCAGTGCTTTGCAAATTTGGCCCGCAGCCAAAATATCAGTTAAGTGTTAAAATCTATTTGAAGGTTAAGAAATGGAATTCAAGGGAACCTACTAACTGCCTAAGGCTGTAATCCTATGCCTGCTTTTGGGAGTCAGCCTTACTGAAACAAATGGGACCTATTTCAGAATACAAATAATCCAGTTTCTTTTGAAATTGGTGCTCTGAAATATTATGGAGCTCTCTTAAAAGTTTATTGCAGGATTCTTCAAAAAGAATTTCCAAAAATTGAAGTAGCTATACTAGAAACAGCCACAGGGCACACTAAGATACATTCTAAGGTGCATAGCACAAGCTACTTCAGCTTTTCCAACCTGGCACTTTCTCTCTGGAGGGTGCTGATTGGAGAAGTCTGATCTAAACTAATGTTTGTCAACCTCAGGAACCTCAACCTCAGCATACTGGCAGGGGAATTCTGGGAGTTGAAGTCCACACATCTTAAAGTTGCTGAGGTTGAGAAACACTGATCTAAACAACCTGGTAAAAACTACTCTGACTCATTTTCTCATAGGATCCTAAGATAAAACTTCAGAAAATGAGGGTTGTCCTAAGCAAAGGCATCTTGATAAATAAATCTGACTTACCCTAAAACGGTATCATTTGTGCTTTCTTAAGGAAACAGAGTGATGGCTACAGCAACCATTACTACAATTTACACAAGTCAAATGTTCATTGTGTCAGTCTATTAAGGTGTTAAATGTAAAAGTTGGGGGAGGAGTTAAGAAGCTTGTGAGTGCACACCTATTTTCCAAAGACTCCTAAAAATATTTTATTTTTAATCTTTTTGTCCATTTCATTTTTGAAATGATATGTTGATTTAAGATGAACGTCATGGGCTTTTGATTTTATGGTTTTTGTCAACTTTCCAGATAGGTTTTGACTAACTTTTAAGGGTTTTTTATCAGAAGCTGTGCCGGCCATGAGAAGATGTCCATATGCCTTCAGCCCTGGAGCAGATTCTAGTCATGTTGTTCACCACTTGGCACATTGCCTGATTGAGCCAAACTGGATGTATTCTTGTCTGTCTCTGCAATTTCTTTTGATGCATTTTTTTTGGAAAGAGTTAGAAAATACCTTCACTTTCAGAGGCCTCAGTACTGTATTCTTCATGATTTGACAACAAGCAGTTAAATTTTGGCCTGCGCTCCAAATCTGCTTGGATTCCTTTTTCAGAAACTCCTGATCGAAAGCTTTGTGAACGAGAAACTGAGATCTCAAACTGTTTAATCACCTCCTCATCACTGTCTGAGGACGTTGTTAGATCTTCATCGTCCCCATAACTGTTCACTGGGAGAAAAAAGACAGAGACACAAAGGATTTTGACAGCCCATGGGGCAGAACATGGACAAAAGCTGTCTTACAAGCTCAGAAAAACTCAGAAACAAGGCAGGAGCCACCAGATACAGGATCTTCAATTAGCCATTTGTGTTTTACCAACTTTCTGCTAGTGATCTTCATGAAAACAATGAACGTTTCCCCCCCCCCCTATTCCTCATTCCATTTTTTTTTCTTTCCATGAAGAGGACGCTGGTGTTTAATATTTGCCATGTTTCATTTGTTTTATTTGTAGTAGTTGATTTTCTAACATCTCAGTAATTATGAGTAAATGTAAACTTTCAAACTTTCAATCAGACATAGGCTCAACCTTGCTCCCCATATCCTCCACAATGTTTTATCTGAGCCCTACACGATGGGTAGATTTTTAAAATGCTATTTGGTTTAAACATTTATTCATCACTATTATTAATATTTTAAACATAGTACAAAAGTGCTGTAGGAATGGGAAGGGAAATATTTACTGGAGATAAATGACTATCATCTGGCCTTAGTTACAAGTGAAAATAGCCTCCCCACCTATCCCAATCTCCACTCTACCCTGGAAAGGTATATTCATGTCACAACTAAACCTGAATAGTGTTTCCAGATCAGTTACAATACTCCGTATCAGTTATTTCTGTCTGCTGTCCATGTATTGGATGCAGGCAATAAAATTCCAGCATAAAAATGCTGTTGAAACAAGATAAATGTGTATCTAATGCCACTAAAAGTCCCTGCTCCTTTGCTACTTGGTCAAAGTGATCATTTTGATGGCACACAAGATTCACAAGGGCCAAAATTCTCTTTCTGAATATAGTTAGTTAGCTGAAGATCAAGTCAAGTTTGATTCTTGGAGATTGCATGGATGAATGCTTTCCATCTTGACCTATCTTTAATATAATACATAACTTTTCTAAGAACATTGCAGTAGTCTTTTAAATCCAATCCATCTGTTTTATCCATTGTCTTCCCTTTCTATTTCCCCCAACCTTGCCAAGATCATAATTTTTTCTACTCTAGCATCTCCTCCCATCGTGTGCCCAGAGTATGTGAATTTCTGCTTGCGGATCATCACAAGAGAATAGTCAGCTTTTGATCTATGACTGATTGATTCTTCCTGCAATGCATATTTCAAAAGCACCTATTATTTTTTAACTATTGTGATCTTTGTTGTCACTGAAATACCCTTCACAATCTTACCTAAGTTCAACAT